AAGAATTTTAGTTGATATATCTCACTCTCTTTTTTTCTACAATCTACCATGAAAAATGGTCCAATGATATATATATATATATATATATATATATCCCTTATGTACATCAGCTATGGCCCATTAGTGGCCTATTTTCTAAACACTGTCAAGAAATTAACTCTAATTTCAATCCACTTGCTATTGACTAGCAAGTCAAGCGACTCAAGCCAAACCTATCTATGTTCATCACAAAAGTCAAAAGGATATATATTTTTAGCAAATCTAGCCAACTAGCCAATTTATGTTGAATGTGTAATTAATTTACTTGTGCTAAAGGCCTCTACTTCAAAGAAGATATGATAAATCTACTCTGTGTGGGAGATTTGGAGAAGACTTATTCATGGCGTAAGATGTACATTTCTTAGCTTGTCTTACTCTAAAAATGTAGCGCTTCGCATGCCGAAATCCTTATTAATTATGGTCTAAGAATTTTAGTTGATGTATCTCTCTTCTTTTCTACATTTTACCAGAAAAAATGGTCCAATGATATATATATATGTCCCTTATGTACATAAGCTATGGCCCATTAGTAACCTATTCTCTATACACTGCCAAGAAAAATTAACTCTGATTTGAATCCACTTGCTATTGACTAGCAAGTCAAGCCAAACCTGTCTACATACGTCTCAAAAATAAGAAGGATACAGAACATTTTTGGCCAATCTAGCTTGCAGCTAGTATATATTGAATGTTAAATTAATTGACTTGAGCTAAAGGCTTCTACATCAAAGAAGATATGATATATCTACTCCGCATGGGAGACCTGAAGAGGACTTACTCATGGCCTAAGATGTACATTTCTTACCTTATCTTACTCTAAAGAGGCAGTGTTCTACAAAATCGTCATTAGTCACGACTTAAGAATTTTAGTTGATGTATCTCACTCTCTTTTTTTCTACATTCTACCGTGAAAAATGGTCCAATGATATATATATATATCCCTTATGTACATAAGTTATGGCCCATTAGTGGCCTATTTTCTAAACACTGTCAAGAAATTAGTTCTAATTTGAATCCACTTGCTATTGACTAGCAAGTCAAGCGGCTCAAGCCAAACCTATCTATGTTCATCTCAGAAATCAAAAGGATACAAAACATTTTTAGCAAATCTAGCCAACCAGCCAGTATATATTGAATGTGTAATTAATTTGCTTGCGCTAAAGGCCTCTACTTGTAAGTTTAATTTAGTTATCGTAATCTCTTTTATTTAGATTTCTCCCAACAAGTCTTTTGAGAAATTTCTCACTTGAACACAAGTTGGTTTGACTTGATCTTCCCTCCAATTATGGGATAAAATAAACATGTCTCTTGTTAATGATCCTTGCAACTTCATGAATTTATCTCTTCTTTGGTGCATCAATAATAGTAACATGGATCTAAGTTAGGGATGTCAACGGGGCCCCGCGGGGCCGGGGAGTGCCTCCCCGTCCCCGTCCCCGCGAATGGCG